GAGTCTGCCTGAGCTTCTCCCGCTCCTTCTGCCCCTCCCCCCGCTTGCACGTGCGCATGCGCACTCTGTAAATGTTTCATAAACTAAAACATTCATCCTTGCTGTTCTCTGAATTTTCGATCTTTTGTCGATGCTGTTTTCCCTGTGTTGATCTGAAAGGATTACGTTTCACTAGTGATTCACCGTGTGCGCGTACACATATATAAATGTATGCGCGTGTGTATATAGAACCGTATCGGACTTAATTTTGCCAGTATGATCAGCTATGACATGGTATCTATAGATTCTGCCCTTAAAAAATGAATATGGGGGCGCCTGGTGGCTCAGTGGGTAGAGCCTCTGCCTTCAGCTCAGGTCATGATCCCAGGGTCCTGGAATCGAGTCCCTTGTTGGGCTTCCTGCTCTGCAGGGAGCCTGTCTCCCTCTCCCTCTCTCCCTGCCCCTGTTTGTGCTCTCTCTCTGAAATAAATAAGTAAAATCTTTTTAAAAAAGACTATATTCAGGGCACCTGACTGGTTCAGTTGGTGGAGTGTGTAACTCTTAATTTTGGGGTTGCAAGTTCAAGTTCCATGCTGAGTATGGAAATGACATAAAAATAAATCTTTAAAAAATTCCTTTTTTGAAAAGATTTTATATATTTATTTCAGAGAGAGAAAGAGGGAGAGTGTGAGTGAGCACAAGCATGAGAGGGGAGAGGGTCAGAGGGGGAAGCAGAACCCCAGCTGAGCAGGGAGCCTGATGTGGGACTCGATCCCAGGACCCCCTTAAAAAATTTCTTAAAAACAATGAATACAGGGGTGCCTGGGTGGCTCAGTGGGTTAAAGCCTCTGCCTTCGGCTCAGGTCATGATCTCAGGGTCCTGGGATCGAGCCCCGCATCAGGCTCTCTGCTTGGCAAGGAGCCTGCTTCCTCCTCTCTCCCTCTCTGCCTGCCTCTCTGCCTACTTGTGATCTATGTCTGTCAAATAAATAAATAAAATCTAAAAAAAAAAATTTCTTAAAAACAATGAATACAGGGGTGCCTGGGTGGCTCAGTTAAGAGGCTCAGTTAAGCCTCTGCCTTCGGCTCAGGTCATGATCTCAGGGTCCTGTGATCGAGTCCCGCATTGGGCTCTCTGCTCAGTGAGGAGCCTGCTTCCTTTCCTCTCTCTGTGCCTGCCTCTCTGCCTACTTGTGATCTCTCTCCCTCTGTCAAATATATAAATAAAATCTTAAAAAAAAAAAAAGACAGAAAGTGGATTTGTGGCTGCCAGGGGCTGGGGGTGGGATGGGGAATCACAGCTAACGGGGATGGGTTTCTTTTTTTAAGGGTGATAGAATGTTCTAGAATTTGATGGTGATGGCAATTTTTACAGCATGTCACATATATCCATTTAATTTATTTTTTAAAGATTTCATTTATTTGATAGAGAAACACAGCGAGAGAGGGAACACAAGCAGGGGGAATGGGAGAGGGAGAAGCAGGCTTCCTGCCGAGCAGAGCACGCCCGACGTGGGACTCGATCCTAGGACCCCGGGGCCATGACCAGAGCCGGAGGCAGCCGCCCAACGACTGAGCCATGACAGGAAGACAAAAGAAAGGGAAATGCAGTGGGCAGAGCTGCCACGTGCTGGGAATGACGAAGGGACTGTTGTGGCCGGGGTAAGTGGAGAGGTGTGCGGGCCACAGCGACTGACTGACCTTCCAGAAGGAACCTGGATACCCACACTGTTTTGCAAATTTACTATTTTTACCAAAATCACAGAAGCAGTTTTTTGGGAACTTTACATAATTCTGGAGTTCATCTGGACTATGTGCGTAGAATGGTCTAGAAAATACTGAAAAGCCAGCGTTGTGATGAACCGGTACTGCCAGATGCTGTGATTCCTCTAGTCAAACCTGGAGGCCGGGGAGCCGAAGCGCGAGGAGCGGATGGCGAATCGCTAGGAAATGCAGAAGCAGCAGCGTTTGTGAGCTGCGGGGAAGGGTCACTTGTGCTGGGTCAAGGGCTTCCTTGTTATTTTAAAAATAAACATTTCTGGGGCACCTGGGGTTGGTCCATTTGGTGGAGTGTCTGACTCTTGGCTTCGGCTGGGGTCATGATCTCAGGGTCGTGGGTCAAGCCCCACGCTGGGCCGAGAGCTCAGTGTGCTCGAGATTCTCTCTTCCTTTCCTCCAGCTTCTCCCCTGCTCGTGCTCCGTTTCTCTCTCTGTGTCAGATAAATGGGTTGGGGCGCCTGGGGGGCTCCGTGGGTTAAGCCTCTGCCTTCGGCTCAGGTCATGGTCCCAGGGTGCTGGGGTCGAGCCCCGCATCGGGCTCTCTGCTCAGCGGGGAGCCTGCTTTCTCCTCTCTCTCTGCCTGCCTCTCTGCCTGCTTTCAACCTCTCTCTGTCCAATAAATAAATAAAATCGTTACCAAAAAAAAAAAGATATACTAGAGCCCAGGAGAAATTGTAACATATGACAAATTATATATAAAGTTTTTTTTTAATAAATGACTATATTAAAAGTATTTAAAAAGTTTTTCAGAAGTCAGTAAGACAAGGACCACTTCCCAGTGGAAAAACGGACAAAGGATGTAAACCAGCAACATAAATGTGACGCGCAATGAAGAGGTTTTCCCGTCCGACCGTAAGGCACACGTGGCCTACCATCAGCGCTGGGAGGGGTGCAAGGAGCCGGATCCACACACCGTGTGGATGGAAGCGTGAATCGGTGCCCCTTTCTGCAGGGTACGCCGCAGCTCACCAGAACGGCTCACGACCGGATGCCCTCTGACATGGACACTGATGCTGGCGTTTACCTACATCCAGAATTGGGGGGTATTGGCAAAGATTTGACTAGAGGAGAAGTGACTGTCCTAATCATTACTGCCAACAGCCAGTACTGTGTCCCCCGCCGGGCTCCCATATGGGACAGGCCTGCGGGGAGACACGTGTGTGGGGGCTTGTCTGCGGGCCCCTCCCCACCCCGCCGTGTGTCCCCAGGCTCCCTCTCCACTCGGCGGTCAAGATGGGAACCAGCACCACGTTCCAGGACTTAGCCATTCGTTTCTACGAACCGGGGAGGATCCGAACCATCTCCCTTGACCTTGCTTCTGACCAGGAGCTGCGACAAGGTCTAGGGACGCCGCTGACCAGGGCCCACGTGACTGAGAAGCTGAGCGGTTCTCACTGGCCTCAGCGGCTCGTGGCTGCCATGCTGGCCAGCGTGGGTCTGGAGATAATGCAGCCCCAGGGTGGAAATTTTCAGGATGGGGGCTCCAGATCTCAGCCCGCCTCAGCAAGCAGCTGCTGAGTTACAAGGGGACAGGGCTGGCCCAGGCACCAGAGGCAGCCTGCTGGGTCCCGTCCACCGGCAGGACAGAAATTCATGCCGCTGAGATGACAGTCCCGTGTGTTGGCCGGGAGGCCGCTCAGCCAGCCGTCTTGTCCCAGCAACACTGCCACTTCCCTCTCCCACCCCGTCCCAGTCCAGCCAGATTTCCAGACACCAACACTTGTCCCCCATCACCTCTCTGGGTGGGACAAGTTCTGGGGTGGCTTTCTGGGCACCGAGGGAGGAGTCCCTTGGGAGCTGGCCTCTGATTCTGGCATTCCCAGTAGCCCAGGGCAAGAGGTACTGGCCATTCTATGGGTAAAACATTTCCTTCTAACGGGGGTCTGAGCCTGCCGAGGCCGCGGGTGACAGGTCACTACCAACTTAGGGCTTAAAACCACATGGACTGATTCTCAGAGAGTTCTGGGCTCAGAAGTCCTAAAACCCCGGCGCGGGCAGGGTTGGTCCCTCCCGGGCCCAAGGAGACCCGGCTCCTGCCGTTTCCTGCCCACGACCCCAGTCCATCCTCCCCACCAGCAGCGCGGGGTCTGCCTGTCTCTGGGACCCCCGCCCTCTGCCTCCCTCTCCTGAGGACCTGGTGAGGACACCGGGCTCCCTGGGCACCTAGGGTCACCCCCACCTCGGGGCCCTGACAACTTCCCCTCTGCTGCAGAAGGGGACACGTCCCAGCTCCCGGGGGGCCCAGGAGGGGACGTGTTTGGGGGACATTACAAATAAAGCTCCCAAATTCTTAGCGGGTTCTGGAAATTGCTGTGGTGTTTTGCACACTCAGCAGGCAAGCCGTGTCTTGAGGTCTTTCCAAATAGCACGTGATTGCGGCGACGGGGCGCCCTCTGGGGGTGAACAGCCAGCCCAGCCCCGGGGCTCCGGCCCCATCGGTGTCCATTTTGCCAGAGGCCCCAGGCCAGACGCCCACGAGGGCGCGATCGGACCCTGTTTCCCACATCGAAGAAAGGGCTCCCCGGCTTTGCTCTCCTGATCTCTTTGGTGCAAGGCTCACGGAGGCCCGGCTCCCTCTCGCGTGCAGCGGAAAGGCAGAGCTAAAACCGTGTTCAAGGGCGACGGAAATGGGTGAGGGAGCAGGTGCCCGCCCCAGGGTCTCAGTCCTGACCTCCCCGCTCCCCACTCTGCAGCGGGGCGCCGGCACCCCCGGGGGCACTTCGGCGGGTGCGAGCCCTCAGCCCGTGGGGACAAGGGCACCCCGGGGACAAAGGCGGTGGCAGGGCCCAACACCAGGCCCTCAGGCCAGGGACGCGGAAATGACAAGCAGCAGCTGAGGGATGAAGATGGCACAGTGTATTGCGGCTGGTGCGGGGACAGCCCGCAGCCCTGGGGGACACAGTGGTTTCGGTGTGGGCCAAGGTGCGGCGTCCAGAGGGAGCTCCATTCCAGGGGAAGGGCCTCCTGGAGCCGGACCCCGGGCCAAGTCGCGTTAATTGCACTTGCTGGCGCTGAGGGACGGCCTTGCTCCTGCGAGCGCCCCCAGCGCCCAGAGGTACTCGGAGTCAGTGCGGCCCACGCTGGGAGGGCTGCCCCGGAAAAGGCCGCGGAGGCGGCCGCGCGGGGTCGGGGTTGGAGGCACAGACAGGACGGCGCTCCTGCGGTCGCTTCAGCGTGGCCCACACAGGGCCCCCGATGTCCACAGCAGCCAGAGCTGGGATTCGGGTCCTGGGGCCGCGCGGGGCCACACAAACGCGGGGTTTCCACACAGAGCCGGCACGCGTTGCAGAAGGGCTCACCCCAGCTACACGTTTGGCAAAATTCAACAGGTTCCAGCCCGGGACACGGAAGATCCATCCCGTGTTATTTGTAAGAGAGAGGGGCCGTCTCTCTAACAGGGAGAAAAATCCCATCATTCACGATCCATGAAGGGGTCCGGCTGGGAAGCAGGGGTGGGGTTCCCGTTGTGCGAGTCACGAAGCGGACACGGGGCCACGAGGGCAAGTGCTAGGGGTTCACCAGTGGGTTTTCGCTGGTGCTCGACACGCTGAGCCACGGAGTTCAAGTTCGATGCCTGCCAAGGAGATGGGCTCAGGGTGGCCACGTGGAGACCCACGGCGGCTGCCCACCGAGATGGCGGAGGACCCCACCCCCACGGTCAGTGCAGCCGCACCGGGACCAAGCTCGCTCACTGGGTGCACTTTCTAGAAAGCTCAAGTCCATGGTCTGGAGATGTGGCCGTAAAAGCGAGGGTCCCCTGGCACTGCCTCGGTGACTGCAGGGCCCAGGGGCTCAGTGGCACATCCGCGCGGTCATTTCTTTCTGTGAAGAACAAGCGGGACGTTAGGGACTGACACGAAGGGGGAGGAAACCACGCACAAATGGAGAACCAGGGGAGCCGGTCTCCAGGGGGCCACGGGCCTCACTTAACGGCAAACCTTACAATCAACGCAACAGATGACAGCACGCTGTCAGCCGGGGTGGCGCACTCTTCGTGAAGGGCCAAGAGGCCATGTCCTGCTCCCTGTGGGGGACCGCAGCCCCCTCAACACGGAAACGACTAGCTCCCTGCGTGCCAATAAAACTTTATTCCCAAAACCAGGCAGTCATCCCGGGGCCACAGTGTACTGATCTGTGCCTTCTATAGGGGACTGGACGCTGCAAAGAAACTTCTGGAAAACAGCCGGGAAATAAAGACAAGTACTATGATACAGTCTTTAGACCTGGTGAGGGCAGCCTCGAGGGTCGTCCCAACAGGTGAAGGCTAAATGCAAAAAGACTAGGTATGAAGGCATTCCGCCACGTTCTACGACAGGCCCCGGGAGCCTCGGTGCACAGGGCAGCCGGGCAGATCACCACCTGCTTCCTTCCCACACAGCCTGGGGGAGTCGGAGCTTACGCATGTTACCCTCCGCCCGGTGCTGGAAAGAACTCTAAGCACAGGGGCCTGAGCGGCTGGTGAAGCGTCTGGCTTCAGCTCAGGTCCCAATCTTGGGGTCCTGGGATCAGGTCCCGCACTGGGCTCAGCAGGGGGTCTGCCTCTCCCTCTTCCCTGACCAACCCCCCACCCGCCGGTGCACGTGTGCGCACACTCTCTGTCAAATAAATAAAATCTTAAAAAACAGAAAACTCTCAGCATTGATGTGGGAGAAATGACGAGGGGATCAAGACGCAAAGTTGAGAAAAACCACTACCAGACGTGACGGCACTGCAGGTTCCAGCTGTCAGCACTCTGAAAACACGACATGGATGGAGGTGACTGTCACGTAAGGGCACCCATCGTGAGGTGAACAGGTCAGCAGCATTCACATCCACAATGGCGTGGACCCTTCCTCTATCCAGTTCCAGAACTTTCCGTCAGCTCGGAGTAAACCCTCCCCCCGTTAGGCAGAGCCCGCAAGGACACAGAGGCACTGGGAATGGTCATGTGAGGAGGAGTTTAACAGTCGTTGAAAGCTGAACAAAAACAGTTCAGTTCAAAGAGGGGCGCCTGGGTGGCTCAGTGGGTTAAAGCCTCTGCCTTCGGCTGAGGTCATGATCCCAGGGTCCTGAGATCGAGCCCCGCATTGGGCTCTCTGCTCAGCAGGGAGCCTGCTTCCTCCTCTCTCCCTGCCTGCCTCTCTGCCTGCTTGTGATCTCTGTCAAATAAATAAAATCTTAAAAACAAACAAACAAACAAACAAACCCAGTTCAAAGACCTGAATCCATGCAGAAATCACTAAAAAAGAAAAGGAAAAAACAAAATGCCCACATGGGGTCCTGGGACCATGCAAGGGAAGCCGTGGGACCCTAGAGTATGATCTCAGTCCCGCAGCCACTGCCCTGCAAGCCCAGGGCCCGCTAGCCCCTGGAACATTCTAGCTTTTCTGCGCTTGGGGGGGATGCCCCCACCCCCCGGAATGGCCCTTGGGGGCTCTGACCACTGGCCTCATCGGAAACCCTTGTCAGCAGGGGTGGTGGTGGCTGGTGGGGACCTGGAGAGCAGTCCTGCCACGCTCTGGCCTCCCAGTTCTCGCTAAAAGCCCACCGCAATGTGGGAGAGCAGTGGACGAGGGGCCCATCCCCAGGCTGGGACCCACAGGGTTTGGGTCGGCAAAGCCCCAGCCAGAGGGCGGTTTGAGGGAGCTGTGGGCTGGGGAGTGCTGGCCAGTGGGGCTGGGGCTTCTTGGGGGGACGGAATGCTCTGGATACCGGCGGGTGACATCGGAGCACCTTGGGAATGTGTCACACGTGGTGGACAGCTTCCACGTGTGTGAAGTCTACCTCAATGAGGAATCAGTCACTACCTGCTCTCCAGCCAGGGGACACTGAGGGTCCCCAAAGCAGCCCCCCAGGCTGCTGCTGCCCGCGCTTTGAAGACCCTCTGCATCTCCCACAGGGAAAGGGGGGGAGCCGCCGGACGGACCGGCCTCCTCCAGGCACCCCGCCCCCACGATGGCTCTGGGCTGCCCAATAGGAGTGACCTCCCCAGGGGGTGGGGGACCCCAGGATTCAGGGCCTCTTGGGGGGACCGGGTGCACCTGGGCAGCCGCATCCCAGCTTGCCCACCAGCGGGGCAGGGACCAAAGAAAACCCCAAACCACCCCAGCGGCTGGGTCCCTGGCGCCGGGGATCCAAGCGGCCCCCATCTGTGGTCGCACCCACCAGCTTGGGCCCAAACCCGGTGAACCAACCTGGGCGGGCTGTGCTGGCTGCCCCAGCCCGAACGCCCCGCCCCTCCAGCTGCGGCCCCGCCCCTCCAGCGGCGGCCCCGCCCCACCGCCGCGGCCCCGCCCCGCGCTCACCAGCGGCTCCAGCTCCTTGGTGTCGATGAGGCCGAACTCGCGCACGAAGTAGTAGAAGTGCTTGTAGCACGTGTTGACGTGCGCCTCGGAGCCCAGCTGCGCGATGCGGTCGAAGTGGTGGATGTAGACGTGCACGAACACGCGGAACAGCCGTGACAGGATCTTCTTCACCACCTGCAGGAAGTTCTTGGGGAACGGCGTGCCTGCGCGCGGGGCCGGGGGTCAGCTGGGCTGCCGGGGAGCCCCGCCGCGCCCCCGCCCCGCCGCCTGGGGCCACCCTCCCCCAGCCTCCCCTTTCGACTGCCGGAGCCCTCCGTCTGCGAGCCCTGCTCGCCCAGGCTCGGCCGGTTTTACTGAATCAAACGGGAGCCCGTCCACATGCTGCTGGACGCTGACGGCCGTCCCCGAGGGTTCACTCTCCACCTCCGCTCTGTCTACACATGGACACAACCTGCCTGGCGCGTGCCCCAGGCCCTAACTCGGACGACGGAGTTCAGTGCTTCTCCACTTCCCTTTTCTCCATGGTGCTGACGTGCCCCTCCTGGGGGGTCCCAGTCTGTGTGCTGGGCGCCCCGGCGTGCTCCTTCTGCCCCCCACCCATTCCCGGGTCTTCGTCCCACAGCACAGACGGCTGCAGTGGCACCGGCGGGTGGGGGCCCAGACCGGAGAGAACACACAGGCCCCCATCCTCGCCACGGGGACCCTGCTGGCTAACGGTGGGTGGGGGGTGCACACAGAGATGGCAGCGAGCTCATGGGGTGCCCAGGCCAGGCCCCCACACAGCGGAGCCCACAAAGCTGCTCTCCAGCGGGGAGACTGGCACGGAGCTGAGGGCGAGCAGGAAAGAAAAAGCTCTCTGGGAGCTGTGTGTGACCGGTCCAGCCTGACCCCGCGCTGGGACGGCTGGGGAGTGACCACTCTGGGGAAAGGGATTCCTTGCAGGTGATGGGAGGGTTCTGGAATCAGGTAGTAGTGACGGTTGCACAACTCGGCAAACATACTGACAACTGAGTAAATGGACCTGAGGACACGGGGCTCAGGGAGAGCGGCCAGAGCCAGAAGGATCCATCCTGCAGGACCCCACTCCCAGGAGGGCCCCAGAGGAGTCCCGTCCACGCAGACAGTGAGGAGGGGGTGGGAGCCGGAGCCGGGGCAGGGGTGGGGATGACAGCTGACAGGGACCAGGCTGCTCTCGCAGTGGTGGAATGTTCTAGCACTAAACAGCACTGAACTGCACACTTTAAACAGGCAGACGTGTGAATGCAGATTCCCCCGGACGGAGGAGAGCACTGGGCCTGGCCGGCCCCCGTGCCCCGCGGCTCACCGACGTGGGTGGGGAAGAGCCCCTCGTCGTTGATCTGCACCTCGACCCAGTCCATGAGCAGGTCCATGTAGCGGGGGGCCGACAGCGCCGTAGGCTTGCGGAACTGGTGCTCATCCTGCCAGCGGTACTCGTACTTGGGGCCGCCGGACATGACCGGGCACGACTGCTCTGTGCACCCCTCGCCAATGGTGCCATAGATGAGGTTGATGCGGTTGAAGAAGTCCACCACGTGCACAGCCACCCAGTCGCTGAGCTCCTCGCCGGGGGGCAGCTGCACGGCCAGCTTCAGGTCCAGCCCCGCGTTCAGCGACGCTTGTGCCTTCTTGTGCAGCTCAAAGCGCTGGGTGCCCGGCTCGAACTTGCGCTTGGGACGGAAGGTCTTGTCCTTGTTGAACACTTGCTTCAGGAAGGGGTTGGACATGTCGGCCCCCTGCCCGGTCGGCACGCTCCCCGGCGACGCCTCCGTAGACGGGCCTGGGCGGGACACTGGTGTTGGGCGGCCGCCGAGGGGACGGGAGATCCGCTGCACCCCGGGCCTTCCTGAGACCTGCAACACGGTGAGGGGGGACCATCAGCTGGCTCTGGAAACGCCGCTCCGGTGCCGGCCTCCAGAGCTGGAAAGCATGATTTCTGTTTCTGCACTGCCTCCAGCCCCTCGCTGCACTGGATGCCCTCCTTTCGCACCTGAAGACGTGTACAAAGACCCCGTTCCCGATGGCAGACGTGAATTCTGGGGGGACACTCTCCACCGCAGCGCCCATCTCAGAGGCCTGGACGAGCCTGTCTGGGTTTGGCCTGTCCAACACGGGACCGTGACGCGTGCCCGCTGGTTCCCTAGGGATGATGCCCCGCCGTGAGAGCCCACCTCCCCTGGTCCCTCCTCCAGCCTTCTCTGTGCCCGGCGTCCTCCTTGGTTACATGTGGACAGCGCGGACCCCCCTTTAGAGAGCATGAGGGGATGCGATCGAGTATATGAAGGCGGCGAGCAGACTCATATTGGGAGAGCAGTCACCAGGCTGTGCCCAGGGCCGGCCCCATCCCGCACCACCCCGCACACTCCCGGGGGCACGGGCCAGGCTAAGACATTGGGGGCTAGGATGGGGAAGGCCGGGCGCCCAGTGGAGCCAGCGGGGTGGCGGTCTTGGGAGTTCACCAGGTGGAAGGTGCAGAAGGGGAAGTCTGGGGAGAACCGGGAAGCAGAAGGACCCGCGGGAGGCCCCACCCCACCTCGCACACACCGCACCCAAGTCTCCGTCCCTGTTACAGTCCACGCCCACCCGCCTTCTCTCTGCTTAAATCGTGGGGTTCATTCCTCTGGCTTGGAACTGGCTGGTCGTCAAACAGCCTGTCCCTCCAGACCCGGCACGTTGCTGTAGCAAATTACCGTACACCTAGGGCTCCTAACAGCCCAACTCCAGAAAGTTCTGGAGGCCCTACAACTGGAATGGGATTCCCCGGAGCTCCTGCCTTTCCCGGCTTCTGGAGGACCCCCCATACTCTCTAGCCTCTGTTTCCCTCATCAGATCTGCTTCTATGGAGACACCCCTCAGCCCCCCAGGACCCAGGGCAGCCCCCGCAGAGTGCCTGGCTCGTTGTCACCAGTGCCGTAGACAGCGGAGCCAAAGGGAGGAGCACAGGCATCCCGGACCCAGACTCCTGCGGGGCCGAGTGGGCGGACACAGTGTCCCAGGACGGCGATGTCGGGCTGACGACAGGGACGCCTGGCTATTAGCAAACATGCCGTTACAGCTTCCCCGTGACTCCTGCAGGCACAGCCCCCGAGAAGACCCCTGAGAGCCGGCGTCCCTCCCACAGGGCCCGCGCTCCTCCACCTGCTCGCCCAGACCCTGCAGCCGAAGGCCAGGCTCCCCGAGCCGGCGGTGGATGCCAGACGCCACGCGTCATGTGCTGATGGCCTAAACCAGTGCTGGGGCCGGGTCGCCTGTGTCCCCGTGGCTGCCGGGTGGCCGGAGCCGAGCCGACCTGCAGGCACCTGGAGCGGAGGGGCTGTGGCACTCACGCGGAGCCTGGAGAGCTGGTCCTCCCGGGGTTAGCGAGGGGTGTGGGGGCCGAATGGGAGGCAGCAGCAGAGGCGGAGCAACCCACCCCCACAGCTGCCCAACCCGGCCAGCGTGGCCTCGTCCTTGGTGTGAACCTGGGACCCCACTCTGCGGGCTCAGGCAGTGCTTGATGTGCCCTGGTCAGGGGAGAGGATGTGGTAGGAGGAATAAAGGCCGCAGAGACGTCCCCATCCTGGTCCGAGACCTGCAAATGTGTCCCCTCCCATGGCAGAGGGGACTGTCATGGCCCTGAGGTGGGGGTGACGCTGGGTTCCCGGGGGGCCTGGCATCCCCATGAGGTTGTCACGAGAGGGAGGCAGAGGGCGGGGGTCCTGGAGACGGGCAGACCCCGCGCTGCTGGCGGGGAGGATGGAGGGGGTCTGCGGGCCAGGAAAGGGCAGGAGCCGGGTCTCCCTGGGGCCTCCAGGGGAACCAGCCCTGACTGCGCCGTTTTGAACTCGTGACCTTCAGAACTGTGAGATGATAGATCCATGTTGCTTTAGGCCACGAAACCTGTGGTCACTCGCTACAGCAGCCCCAGGCCACGCATGGCGTCCCTGAGTGCTGGCTGGGGTAACTGCTGAGGACGCTGGCCAGGCCCTGGTTGCACAGGGGCTCTGGGGCTCCCCTTCCCTGCACTGACCGGCAAAGCTCGACCATCTTGTGGGCCCAGCTGTGCAGCGCGGGCGCCAGAAGGTCTGCTCGAGGCAGGATAAATCATGCAGAACACCAGAGGGGAGCATCCGGGACAGAAGAGCTGGCCACGGACGACGGAGCCAGGGGGATGGTAGAAACCCCAGTGGGAGGGGGAGGGAACCACCACTCCCCACGAGAACGGCCGTCACCACAAAGGACAATCACGGTGTCAGTGAGGACACGCAGAAACGGGACTCCTCACGCGTGGCCGCTGCTGCGGCAAGACCCTGGCAGTTAGAGCCACCTCCCAGGTCCATGCCCAAGACAAGGGACAACAAACATCCACACGGAAACGTCACGTGCAAACGTGTGTTCTGGGCAGCACAATCTGGGATAATCATCAAAAGGGTGGAAACAACCCAAACGTCCATCAACAGGTGATCACGTGATCAAGCTGTGTCTGTCGCAAGGGAGCGTCCCTGGGCATGGACAGGAACGAGGTGCCCCCATGTGCGGCCCTGGGGACAGACCCCGAGCCCACGATGCACAGGGAGGGACCCAGACACAGGAGGCCACACGGGGTGTGAGTCCACGCAGGTGACACATCCAGACCAGGCCCTTCCACGGGCGGGAAGGGGCTCGTGTGGGGTGTCGGGCAGCCGTGGAAGTGACCAGCGGTGGCGGCTGTGCGTGGCCACGATGAGCTGAAAACACGAAGCACGTGTGGCCGGCGAGCAGGGGCTCGGCCCGCGGACCGTCTCTAATGGCCCTGACTCCCTGGTGGGGAAAGAGGCCCGAGGGGAGCCTGTCCCGGCCCCCAACAGAACTGGTCAGCAGCCCCGCGGCCACAATGCAGCCACTCTGGAGCTGCTCACGGAGCAGAGGCGCAGGCGACGGTCTGTCCGAGGAAACGACCTCTGGCGGCTGCTCCAAGGCCATGCCAGCTCTGAAGCGGGAGGGAGCGGGCCATCCACCCAGCCCAAGGGCTTTCCCTTGCTCCCTGCGCCGGCTCTGGCCGCCCCACCCCTTCCTACTGCTGTGCTGACTCCTGGCTGGGCACATCCTGGTCTGAGGACGGGGTGGTCACCCGGACAAAAGGGAAAATGGGCCCAGATTAGATCAGCACCCTGGGCCCTGCTAACATTGGGGTATCCCAGGCGCTGAGCAGCACCCCCAGTTATGAGGACCCCAGGCATCCCCAGACACTGCCCAGTGTCACTTGGGGGGGTCACCTGGCCAAGAGCCTGCATTAGAGGACAGTGACTCCCTGCTACCTGGTTAACCAGTAGTCAGGACGCCTGGACAGGGAAGAACCAGAGCTCAAACCCTGGGCTGTGGGGGTGAAGCCACATCCGTCCCGCCAGGCCACGTGCCTCCATGGGAAACCACCTGTCCATTATTCAGGCGTCCATCAGTCTCACCGCAAGGCCAGGGCACCCCCGGGACCGGGCTGTTCCCCTACCACAGCTCTGCTCACAACCCATGTGTGTGCTTTCCAGGCCCCAGGACCGGGCAGCAGACCCTCCTGGTCTTGGGATGCGGGCACAGCCCCGGGCACCCAGGACCTGGATGGAGGGAGGTGGTGCCCCAGAGCGCGCAGCCCCACTAGCCCACCTGTAGCCCAGGCCTCTCTACACCGTGGGCACCCGCACTGGACAGGCCGGTGGGGACCCCCGGGGCCTCACCTGAGACCACCGATGCCCAAGCGGCCTGCCTCCCTGTCCCCGCTGGCTGATCGCACACCTGGCCACTCTCGGGCCACCCCGGGCACAGGTCAAGGGGCAGCGATCCCCTACAAGCCAACTGGAGGAGCAAGTCTCCTGCTCCTGCCGCCCGAGAGCAGGGCCCCTTGCTTCCTCATTCACGGCCGCGCTTCAACCCGCAAACTCCCTTCTGCTTGAGAATGCCGGTCAGGGGCTGCGTCTCCGCCCGGCCGGACTGGGGCCACTGTGGCTCCTGCTGGGCCTAGCCCGACTTCCGGGCCTCTCATGCACCCCGCAGCTCAGCTACACCCGGACAGCAGTCCCAGGACAAGGGAAAGGCACCCCGCCAGCACCCCGTTGTTGCCTCTTTGGGGCCTCTCGGGGTGGCTCCGGGAGCTTAGCTTGCGACCATGTCCCTGGGGACCCATGACCCGCACAGATGGCAGCGGGCCGTGAGAGATGGCGGGGGGCCTCAGGGGCACAACAGGGTCTGTCCGAGTGCCTCCAGGCCTGGGACCAGACACACATCAGGCCGGTTCTGGAAGATGGGGGCGCGGGCAGCTCTCAGGGCTCCTGACTGCTCTCGGTGTCCTCTCAGAATGGGTGAGGAATTTTTTAAGCGGAAGCAATGATTTTCTAAAAAACTTCCCTGATGGGAAGAATTCCCTTCCGAAACAAAGGACTTTCCATGGGAAACACAGGCGCCCCATGGCCGAGGGGTGGTCGGCCACCTCAATGTGCCTTTGCTTTGAGAAGTGCTGCAGGGGGTGACCCCCCATTGCCACCCGCAGCCCAGGTTACCGGCTCTTCCCAGACACCTCCGAGGACAGCGTGGGGGAAGGTGGGACAGGCTTCTTGGGTTCAACGCTAAGGGCTCCACGGGTGGCCTAGGATCTTCCCTCAAAGGAGACATGGGCAATACTCAGAAACCTCCAGACTGATGAAGGTAAGCCGACAAAACTCCCCACCCCCACCCCACACCCCACACCCTCCTCCCCCTCTTTTCTTCTGAAAACCAAACAAAACACAGTTCCTCCAAGCAGCTGCCTTGCATGACCCTGCCGGGGAGAAGCAGCGGCCCCTGCCACTTCCTTCCGGTGCCTCTGTGTCCTGCTTGGGCGGCAGCCACGTCCCCACTGCAGGGACACCGCTGGAGCAGGGCAGGGGCCTAGACCGACAGGCCACAATCGCCAAGGTCAGCCCCGTGTGTCCTCGATCAGCATGCCGACCCCGGCTCCCGGCCGGGCACCCAAGAGTTTGGCTGGAAGATGCTCGAAGCCCGGGATCGGTCCTGTCCAAGAAGACTGCACCCCAGAGCTGTCTTCCACCATCGGAATGTTGATGTTTTAAAAACCAGCAGAGCTTCCTGGGCGGGAAGCCGCCGACCTCCCTACAGGACCCCCAGGACGGTGGCCCCAGCCCCCCGCCCCCCACAGGGCGTGGCATTCTACCCGCATTTGGCCCTCCTGTCTTTGCTTCTGGGGTGAAGTTCCCCAATTTGTTTTGTAGGAAGGCAGGAAGTGGTTAGCTGAGACCACAGCAGGCCAGGTGCTACCACGGGGTTCTGCGTACTCAGTCCGCCCGACAATCCTTTTATAGTCAACTGTGATGTAATTCATGTGCCGCAAATAACTTCTAAAGTATGCAATTCAGTGGTTTGTAGTACACTCAGAGAGGAGTGCAACCGTCACAATTCTAGAACATTCTCAGCACCTCAAAAGAAACCCTGTGCCCAGCCACAATCACTCCGCATCGGTCCATTATGGGTCGAGTCCTGTCCCCCAAAACATGGCCGGCACCTGTGAATGGGATCTTCTCTGGAAATAAGGTCTTTGCAGATATAAAAATGAGGTCACGCTGGGCAGGAGAGCCCCAAGCCCAATGACAAGGGTCTTTAGAAGAACACGGAAATCTGGATGCAGACATGCGAGAAGTGGGCCATGGGACCAGGGCGGCAGAGAGGGGCACAGGTCTACAAGCCGAAGGACACCTAGGATTTCCTGGAACACCCAGAAGCTAGCAGAGGCAGGGAGGGTGTCAGAGTCAGAACAGTCACAAATAGAAGTGGGGCCTGGATGCGAGCCCAGGTGTCCTGAGCCTCCCACCTCTGCTGCCCCAGGCAGGAGGGGGCCCTGGGCACACTAGGGCCTGCTAGGCCCTGCCCCTCCCCCTGCGCCTTCCCCACCGGGAAACAAATGCTGAAATACTGTTTGGCTCCAGTCCCCTGGGGCAGAGAAAGCAGAGCGTGAAAGCCTACCCTCGGCCTGCTGGTTGGCCTGGGGGCTGCCTCGCCTCTCGCTGGGTCTGCCCTTTCCGGGGTCTGCCCTTTCCGCTGAAGCTATCTGAATCTGGAAATTCTAGGAAATCAGGAACGGGGCTCTCCCGCTGGGGCTCGTCTGAAACTTCCCTGAGGAAAATCCCAAGGTCTGAGCCAGCTGCTGGGGACTCTGGGTTCAAGCTCCATTTCGCCACACGCTGGACAAGGCAGACCTGCTCCTGGGCCCCGGCTTGCCACGGACTTGGCGCCGAGCGCTCCTGGCTTGGCAGCGCCCTTGTAGACGGACAAGCCCGCAGAAGGGCTTAGCAAACAGCTCAGGAACCGAACTAGCATTTCTGAGAACTCCCCGAGGAGGACAAAGAACCACCGCTGCTCCTGCTGAGAGAGCGAGGCGCACCTGGAACTCCCTCCCGGGTTACTGGGGACACCTGGTGCACAGACTCCGGGCCGTCAGCCTCCGGGATGGAGACGGGGACGTGCCCTGCCTTCAGGGAGGTTCAGACAAGAACTCCGCAGCCCCGCAGAGAACAGAGGAAGCTCAGTGGTGCGTCCCTGAGCCAGAGCAGCCGGGCTGTATGCGGCGCTGACCGGGAGGCCCGGTGTCCCCTCCCGCCTGTGTTCATCATGTTGCGGTAGTGGTCCGCCACCAGTCGCAAACATCGGGCTCTGGCGGGGAGGCTGGTCATGGGGGAGGCCGTGCAGTTATGGGGAGAGGGAGCCTGGGGGAGCTCCACCTTCTACTCTGGCTTGGAGCCTGAAACTGCTCTTAAAAATAAGCCTGATTTAGGGTACCTGGGTGGCTCAGTGGGTGAAGCCTCTGCCTTCAGCTCAGGTCATGATCTCAGGGTCCTAGGATCGAGCCCCGCATCGGGCGCTCTGCTCAGCGGGGAGCCTGCTTCCCCCCTCTCTCTGCCTGCCTCTCTGCCTACTTGAGATCTCTCTCTCTCTGCGTCAAATAAATAAATAATCTTTAAAAAATAAGCCCGATTTAAACAAAATTATAACCAACACTCACACACTCACGCACACCCAGCACCTGGTTACCAGCTTGCGCCGCTAGCCCCGTTCAAGAACTCACGCCCGCCGCGGAGAACAGTGAGTCCGGTGGAAGCAGGAGCCGGATGGGCGTTTGCGGAAGGAACGTCACAGAGAACGCTAGGACCGTGACATGAGCCGTCAGCAGAATCTCGCACTGTCCGGAAGCCTTGCTAAAAAGTGGAAAAGTGAAGTCACTACTAACGCCGCATCATATTTTACCCAGGAATGCCAGAATACATTTCCACACCTAGCAGGTGCAGCAAATCTTACGGTCATCTTATCGTTTTTTCTTTTTTTTGGCAAACATGCTGTGTCTGGGACTCAGCAAGTATGCGGCACCCACTCCTGGGCTGAGACTCTGCAGGGGTGAGGGAGACGGGAAGCCACGTGGGCAGATGGCCCCGAGCAAGGTGTTGCGGGAGGTGCGTGCCTGCAGGGGGAGTGGGGGGGCAGGAAGGACGTCCACTTGCTCTGTTCTCATCCACGGTCAGTAGACGGTTCAGTGGCTTCTGAGAACGGACCCAACAGGTGGCCACAGACACCCGGGGACACCCTGGGAGGAGGATTTCAGGGGAGGCCGCAGTGCGCTGCCCTAGCGTGGGCCGGGGGTGTGGCCCTTCCTATCACTCGGGGCTGAGCCTGTAATAGGGGCTAGTAAGGCCCCAGACTGTCCTGCGGTAGGGCAGGAGGAAAGCCGCGGGGCACCTGTCCCAGAACCGAGTGCAAAGCCGGAGAGCAAAGCGTCAGGCCGCTCCCGCTACGGCATCCTCCCCTCCGGAGGGATACCCCCGTCCCGCCGCCCGCGTTCGCCGCCCCCATCCGGCCTCCCCGCCGCCCGCGTCCGCCCCTCCCGAGGGACCCGGCCTCCCCGCCGCCCGCGTCCGTCCCTCAGGGGACCCACCTGCAGGCTCACGTCCAACCGGCCAGGCGGCGCTCGCGGCTGTCCGGCGTCCAGCGTCCGCCGCCCCGTCGCCTCCACCGCCCCGGAGCCACAGAGCGCAGCGTCCGCCCCGCCACCCCGCCCAGACAGATGTACTTCCGCTACCGGCCTGGGCCTCCCCGGAAGCGGAGCCGAAGTGGGGGCGCGGTCTAGAACAAGGCGGGGGCTCTCCCCGCCGCCGTGCTCTGTTGCCTGGCAACCGGAAACGGGCCGGGACGGCATTGGCTGGTGCCGGGGAGTGGGCGTAGCTTGCGCGGCGCCGGGAGCGCGGAGCGGGTCCTCCCGCCCAGACCAGCCCGGAAGAAGGAGCTTGCGCGTGTCCTGGGCGCATGCGTGGGGCGTGGCCGACCCCTCCCTTCGGAGGGGCGATCTGGGCGGGGCCCGGAGGCGGGGCCGGCAGTTGTCCGTTGCGGGGCGGGGCCGGAGCCGGGGGCGTGGCGCGGGAGGCGCCGTTGGTTGGCGGGCTGCGGGCGGGGGCGGGCCATGGCCCTGCTACTGTGCCTGGGCCTGACTGCGGCGCTGGCCCGCGGCTGCCTGCACTGCCACAGCAACTTCTCGGAGAAGTTCTCCTTCTACCGCCATCACGTGAACCTCAAGTCCTGGTGGGTGGGCGACATCCCCGTGTCGGGCTCGCTGCTCACCGACTGGGGCCAGGACACGATGAAGGAGCTGCACCTGGCCATCCCCGCGGAGATCAGTGAGTGCGCGCAGGGGAGGCGGCGCCCGCCTGGGTGCGTCCCCGGCCCCGCCAGACCCCGGCCCCGCCTGACCCCCAGCGCTGCGGGACACCGGGCCCGGGCCGCTCACCTGCCGCCCCCTCCCGCCCGCAGCCCGGGAGAAGCTGAACCAGGTGGCGAACGCCGTGTACCTGAAGATGGATCAGCTGTACCAGGGGAAGATGTATTTCCCCGGTGAGCTGGCTGCCGCCACGCGCGGGAAACGGACACGGCCCCCTCCGCCCCCTGCCCGAGCCTCACCTCTCTCTTGCCCACCCCCATCAGGGTATTTCCCCAATGAGCTGCGAGCCATCTTCCGGGAGCAGGTGCACCTCATCCAGAATGCCATCATCGAAAGTGAGCAAATGGAGAGCCCGGGCGGGTGGGGGAGGGCCCCGGGAGCGGCTCGGAAGTCCCCGGAGGTCAGGCGCTGGGCTGGCAGGGTGCATTCCGCACGGAACACCAAGGGGCCAGAAAGGCAGCTCCCCAAGGCAGGGCCCCTTCCAGCGACTGGGCCGCGGCACTGGGTAACCCCCGCCCGCCCTTCCCTGCCACCTGCCCCTGCCAGTCCCTGGAGGCATGCTGCCCTCCACCAGCCGTTTGGGCCCCCAGGCTGAGCGCCAACCTGAGGGAGCCTTGGGCGGGGCAGGAAGGGTGGGCGGGGCAGGGGACAGGCAGGTTGGTGCTCTTGTGCCCACACAGGCCGCATTGACTGTCAGCGTCACTGTGGTGAGTGAGGCCCGGTGCAGCCTGCGGGGCCCGGCGGGGAAGCTCCCCGGGAGGCCGAGCCGGGGAGCCCGCGGCTGCCTCCTGTGTGTTGCAGGCATCTTCCAGTACCAGACCATCTCCTGCACCAACTGCACCGACTCGCACGTCATCTGCTTTGGCTACAACTGCGAGTAGGGCGCAGCCGCCGGGCGAGGGGAGGTCCTGGCCTGGGGAGGGCGGGGCTCCGGACCCGGGGCCTCCCCATCTCCACACCCCGTGTGCCCACAGGTCGTCGGTACAGTGGGAAACAGCCGTGCAGGGCCTCCTCCTATACATGTGAGTTGAGGCGGCTGGGCTCCGGGAGGGCAGCCCGACCTCAGCCCTGCCAACCCGAGTCCAACGTCGCTGTCGTTGTAGAAACAAGTGGCACAAGTACGTGAGTTTTATCAGAGGCAGGGAGTGTGCTTTAAGCCCTCGTGGGTGAGTATGAGCTGCGGCGGCCACAGGAGGCGGCACCTGGCCCCTGGGCTCCGGACCCCAGCCCTTCCTTCCGTGAGCGCCTCTGGGCTCCGCTGGCGCCAGCGGGGCCAGACAGTGGTCAGAGCTGGGGAGGGCCCCCAAGGATGGATTTGCCCCAGTGCAGGGACCTGGGGGCCACCAGCCCTAAAGCTTGGGGCTAAGAGAGACTCTGTCGTGTCTTTCAGAGAGGACACGAACACAAGGTAAGCCACCCCTCACCCCCAATACCCGCCCTGTCCTCTCCAAAGCCCTGGCCAGGCCTTCTGAAAGGGAGGTGGGGACAGACCAGGAGGGGTTGGATAGGGCAGACACAGCTGGCGGGGATCCCTGGCACCTGGGACAAGCCAGATGTCACCTCTGCAACCACACCCAAGCGATTGCTTCATGAATAAACATCAGCTGTCCTCCTCCCCTGGACGCACAGAACCACTCCGGCCTTGTGAGTGGCTCAGAGGCAGGCTGTGAGGACCCGGGCCGGGGTCTCTGGGTGGGTGGGGTCCGTAAGCCAGAGATCAAAACCCAATGGCTAATTTGCCCAAGCCCCACCCCTGCCCGTTTTTTGCGGCCTGTTGTGGGAGTGCTGGGCATGACACTGAGCTTTGAAGGTCTTGTCTGCGCCCTGTCACAGGCCCCAGGGCCCCAGCAAAGACCCTGGCAGGGGCGAGGAGGTGGAACAGGGACGGAGGGCTGAGGGCACTCATGTCTCTCCAACAGTCTGATATCACCGAGCTTCACGTGTCTTGAGCCCCCACATCTGGCCAACCTGACTCTAGAAAACGCTTCCGAGTGCCTGACACAGCACTGACGAGCACCGGGTTCACCAGACCAGCCCCAGCCTGGAGGTGGAGCCAGGACTCAGCTGGACTGTCCCAGCTTGACCCCCTGGAGCAGGCTGCTGCCGCCTTCCTCCTCTCCCGTCCGACTCTGGGGCCCCCAGGAGGGGTGTGTGGCTTTGTCGGGCGAGGTCCCTGAGCTATTAGATGCAATGATTAAACGTCCCTGACATTTCTCATCACGGAGCAGTCCTTCTCAGGGCAACAGGTGTCAACCCGTCCTGGTCACACACACGGGGACAGGACTGTGGGCAGAGGGGCGTCCACGCCCGTTCTGGTGCAATCTGTCTAAACGCCGCTGGGCTGGCTGGGATGGAAACAAGCTTGTGGGGCAGATGCCCTGAGGACTCAAGAGACCACGGTTTGGTGAAAACTGTGGCCAGCTCGGGCGCCTCTCAGGGCTCACGCCACGTTGGGCCAAACCTGAGTCACAGGAGCACAGAACGGTCCTGCTGCGTCTCTTCCTTCTGCAAACCCTCCACGGGGCTTACGAGGGGCCCCAAGCACTTGATCTGTGCGGCGGGCAAGCAAGGGACCCGGCGACCAGAGTCCTGCCTGGAGGTGGCCTTGTGCCTGGAAGTGCTGCTGGCAGTGGTCCATCCGCGTCAGGACAAGCACATGGGGCACGTGGGGAGCGACATGCTGGTGGGCTGTGGAGAGCGGCAGTCTCACGTGTGAGCACCCACCCAGGGGATGGGTGTGGGGGTTGCGGACTGGTGGCCGGGCCAGAACCGCCCTCGCTGCATCAACGTGGGGTCTGTCACCTCGGTGCTTCCCAGGACGCAGCAAAGGAGGTGAGGGGCCGGAAAGGGGTCTGGCACGGTACAGGACACGTGATTTTGTCCACTGAGAAGAGTGAGAACGCCTCGTGGCTGGTGCTTCTGGACATATTATCAAGCGGGGACACTGGTGGCCGGTGGGTCTGCCCACCTGTGCTCAGGATCCGTGCTCTCCCGCCCCCGATTTCAAGCTCGAGCTGATCTGGCTTCCCGTCCACTGACCCCGCCTTACTGTTCTTGAACTGACCCTGTCTGTGCGCTGTAAGGCCAGCAGGCGTGCGGCAGGTCAGACCAACAGGGTGGGACCTGCTTCACAGCAGCTGTCCTGCCGCTTACCCACGCGCCGCTCGCTAGCGAGGTGCCCCGTAGGGCGGGCACATCCATCAGGCATCGCCGGTGGGGCTCCTGGAGCCCACGGGTCAGATGGCTCCTTGCCACACCGCCCAAGCTTGGGGTGTATGGCAATGATACGACCTCCATCACAAGGGGACGGGCGCCTGGGCAGGACGGGCCCCCGTCAGCTCGAGGACTGTCCAGAGCCCCCCGGTGTGAGGTGGTCCCCTTGAGACCACCAGGCATGTGTGGACACGGGCAGGACATCCAACAGATAAGCGTCTGTTTCACAAGTTTATTGGATCATCTTAACACAAAATCATTACAGCAGCGTGATAAGT